AGGAAATAACCCCTGAAAGAGAGGTTAAGTGTTAGACTTATTTCAGTTTATGCATCTGTAGTGTCCAAGTTTTGGAAACTTGCATAAAATTATTTTGGGGAAAGTGTTTTCCCTGTCAGAAACCCAGTATGGATTTCCTTCTGTGTAATGGAGTGTGTTCTTTCTGATATGTCAGACCTTAGGGGAATCTTCCCCAATTTGGCAAACTTTGGGCAACCACAGATCTGACATCAGAGAAGACTAGCAAGCCACAAGCATTGTTGTCCAGCTGCTCTAAGGGCTTGTGAGCTTGGTGGAAACCAATCTCTCCACAAAGGACTGCCAGGATTTATGCTCCTTCTAGCATAGTGCTGCAGTTAGCTGCTTGCTCTGTGCTAGCACTCAGCTCCTTACGCTCTCCTGTGCTCCTTTTGCATCTTCAAAGGTTACTTGTTTCTTTGGTATAAACACCAAGTGAAAAGGGAGGAAAATGTCTAACAAAGCTGCTGCCAGAAGCAGAATTCTGTTGCGCCAGATGAGCCAGCCGCATGGACTTGGGAGGAATGCATCATTGGGGTAAGTCCTGGTGGGTTTTTTTGGCAACGTAATGGTGTGGTATTTTACAAGACTTCTATTTCCCTTCCCCCCTTTTTAGTACTCTATAATTAAATAGTAGTATAGCAGAAGGAAATACTCCTGAGCCATTTTGCTCCTTAAAACTGAAGATTCTAGGCACATGCCTATTCAAGTTTGTGCAAATTATGGACATGATACAGCAAAGACAGTAGTACTTGTATGGTCCAAAACTTAATTCTGATTTAATAGGTTCTTTTTTTAGCAGCTGCAGTGCTGAGAGCTGGCACTCACAGCACAACATGGATCCTTTAATCAGGCTGCATGAACAAGGAACAACTCTTTTTTTCCCCCCTAGAAAATCCAGCAACAATTACTCAGAAGCATGAGAGATTTCCTCTGGTTTTATGAACTCTAAAACTGACAAACAAATCCCTCATTGTCTGATGCCCACTCGGATGCATGTGGGTGACTTCAGTACTTGGGCAAAGCTGACTGTCACCTGCTGTGTAGTTAATGTTTATGCTTCGATGTGTGACATCTTAATTGGCAGGTTAGAATTTGGCCTCTGAGAAACTCCTAGTGTGACTAAACCAGTGTGACAGTGGATCCAATCTGTACTGAAAAAAATTGAGGCTAGAAATCTTGGAAATCTTGGAACAAGTAGCACTGCATGTACCAGGTTCCCATAACAAGCAGTTTAACAAGTGTGCATGTTACCTTCTGACAGTGTATTCCTCATCTGTGCAACTTTCAGTCTTCCTGGGTCCTTCCTGTTCTGCTGCAAATGGTGTGGCTTGTCACTTGGTTCCAAGCTGACTGTATTTCCTTTTTTGCTTTACTGAGTACCCCAAGACAGCTTCAATCTCATTTGTTTCCACATAAGCATTTTCCAGCCTCATGTCCTTAATGACACCAGAGTGCTGTGTGACACTGGTGTGTAATTAGGTTGCGGTTTGCCAAGTGAATGAGCACTTGCTGTAGCAACCTGCAGGTGCACCAGTCCAGCTTAATGGATTTGGCGTCTGTTCTGCTCCATCCCTTACTTCAGCAAGCATCCAGCCTCCAGAGTGTTTGTCACTAGCCTAGCTTTCTCATTTTTCAACACTGTGCGTTTTCTGTGGGCACCTTTCCAAAAGTAATGACAGATCCTGACTCATGTTTTACTAATAAAACGCCGCAAGACTGTTAGCCTACGTATGTGTTTCAGTCTGTGTCTTTCAGTCTGGAGCCCTTGCAATCTATCAGGAAGGCAACAAAATCCATCTGTTTTCTTCCAAGCTAAAACAGACTATAAAGTTTCCAGCTTTTAAGCTTATGATGAATTTGAAATACAGTCAGTAAAGTCCTGTGTTGCTTTTATGTGTTGGAATTTAAATATCCTGAGTCAGGTTCTGAGTATATTCAGTCATGCATTTTTCTGCATGGTTCAATGACTCAAGGAGATTTTTTTTGTCTCCTGTGGTTTTAATCAAGATTTTAAAATTAATTTGTTTAAAAATCTGTTTCTCCTTTCCCCCCAGTGGTTTTGAAAGGAAGGAATTACAGAGTCTTCTGGTAAGTTGTTTTCCACAGCAGCGATGTCTGCAATATTGTGTAGAAGCACAAATTCCCAAGTACTGGTTATCCAGCTGGGAAGCTAGGAGTGGGTTTGGGTAGGAAGAGGTGGTTAGTAAATCTTTGAATTGCTCTCCTTTTGGAAGGTACATTTTTTTCTCCAGTTAGGGGGTGGTGAAATGGCCTCATCTAGGGTAAACTGCTAGCAGGGTTTGTCAGCTGGAGTAGCTTCTTGCAGTAACCATACACGCTCTGGTAGCAGAATGATAACCTCTCAATGCTGTACACAGTACATGGATTTCACACTCAGTTCCGAGATGAGTCAGGCCCATGAAAACATGAACATAATACTTCTGTTCGGGCTCTTAAGAGGCTCAGTCCAGGTAATCTCAGTGAATAGTTGTAAATAGCTGCAGGAGCTCTTTTTGCATGTGTACTCAAGTGGGTATCGTGTTAGTTGTTTGGAATAGCATCATTTTTCTTACAGTCACAATAGCTCCTCCTGCACACACCTGAAGGCAGGAGAAGCATTGACTCAAATCTGCAGTATGATGAATTCTCCTTGAAACCAGTTAAGTGCAGGATCTGTTATACCTAAAGGAATTGTTTGGTCTTGACAGGAAGCCTGAGAGGAAATGAGTTTTCTTCTTTTACCCTATGACCCCAAGTGATAGGGATTAATAATCCATGGAAAGGTTTGTAATAGTTTATGAATGTTAAGAATTGCAGCTGAAATTCAGTGAAATGAAGAGATTTTCTGATCCAAGGGCATATAATAGGAAGTTATCTGCCCCATATTGACCATTCATGGTCTCTGAAACCATGGTGTGCTGCCTGGTACCAATTAAATAAAAGTAATAATAATTTCAGGAAGAGAGGCAAAGGAGGGGTAAGTTGGAACAGATAAATGTGATCACTGTTTATGTGCTCCCTAGGATCCAGAAAGCTCTGTCTGCAATTGGTGTTTGTGTTAAAAAAAATAAATTGTGAAAGTTACTTTCAGTAGTTCTAATTAAGCCTGAGACATACAGACTGC